CTTTGACTATTCAAAATACCCGCCACATTTACGAAAATCCGCAATACCGAGCACAAAAATTTATGATTTTAAGTCTTACGATTCAATTCATTCATATTTGTGTCGAATGAAATGTTTAAATAAATCTTAAATATCAACTAATCGATAAAAAATTACGATTTTTGGTCCCTATATTATTATACTTTTTTTTTTGTTTTTTTATTTTGTTCCTTAAACCAGAAATGCACCCTAGTGGGGGTCAATTTGTAATTTCTGAAAATCCACCTTGCCGACTTAAAAAGTTTTGAAAATTGCAGAATCACCCGTATACTTGCTCCATCTTCCCACTAGCTCCACCCAAATTGCAAATTTAACCCCAAAGTGGATCTCTCTTGCAATATTCGAAATATCTGACACCAACGCAGTATGCTTTGACTCCTCCTCATCTATAATCGCGTGTGACTCATTTACGAAAATTCGCAATACCAAGTTTAAAATCTTATGATTTAAGATTCAATTCGTTCATACCTAAGTCGATTCAAAAGTTAAAATAAATCTTAAATATCAACAAAACAATCAAAAAAATACAATTTACGATTTAAGAAAACTTTAGTTTATTATATTATTTATATCATTGACGAAAATTCGCATTACCGAGTTTAGAATCTTATGGTTTACGATTCAAATCTTACGATTCAATCCGCTTATACCTAAGTCGATTCAAAAGTTAAAACAAATCTTAATTGTCAACAAGACGATCAAATTGTACAATTTACAATTGAAGACAACTTTAATTTACTATATTATTTATAATAAAATTGCGATAATTACATATTTGGTCCATATATTATATACGAATTTTAATTTTGGTCTTTCAACCGGAAGTGCCCCCAAGTGGAGGTCAATTTGTAATTTCCGAAAATCCACCTCCCTGGTTGAAATAGTTGTGAAGATTGCACAATCAACCCTATACTTACTCTATCTACCTAACTGCTCCACCCAAATTGCAAATTTGACCCCAAAAAGTGGATCTCTCTCTCACTATCCAAAATATCTGCCACATTTACGAAAATTCGCAATAACGAGCATACAATCTTATGATTTACGATTCAAATCTTACGATTTAATTCATTCTTATCTATGTCGATTCAAATGTTAAAATAAATCTTACATATAAACTAATCGATCAAATTTTACGATTTTTGGTCCATATATTAAATACATTTTTTTTAATTTGGTCCTTAAACAAGAAATGTACCCCAAGTGGGGGTCAATTTGTAATTTCTGGAAATCCACTTCCTTGATTGAAACAGTTTTGAAAATTGTAGAATCACCGTTATATATACTTACTCCATCTTCCCAGTCGTTCCACCCAAATAGCAAATTTAACACCAAAGTGGATCTCTCTTGCAATATTCGAAATATCCGCCACCAACGCAGTATGCTTCGACTCCTCAACTATAATCGCGTGTCACTCATTTACGAAAATTCGCAAAATCAAGTTTAAAATCTTTTGATTTACGATTCAATTCTTACGAATCAATTATTCATGCCTAAGTCGATTCAAATGTTAAAATAAATCTTAAATATCGACAAAACGATCAAATTTTACGATTTACGATTTAAGAAAACAATAATGTATTATATTATTTATAATTAACGTGATATAATTAATATTTTGGTCCCTAACCCAAATTGGAAATTTGACCCCAAAGTGGATCTCTCTTTAAATATCCAAAATATCCGCCACATTTATTATCACAAGTTTATCATAAATAATATAATAAATTAAAGTTTTCCTATATCGTAATTCGAAAAATCTGCTCGATTTGTTGATATTTAAGACAACAAACCCACCTCCCTGTCCGACAAAGTTTTGAAAATTGCATAATCACCTCTATACTTACTCCATCTTCCTAGCCGCGCTACCCAAATTGCAAATTTAACTCCAAAGTGGATCTCTCTTGCAATATTTGAAACATCCGCCACCAACGCAGTATGTTTCGACTCCTCAGCTATAATCGTGTGTGACTCATTTACGAAAATTCGCAATACCGAGTTTAAAATCTTATGATTTACGATTCAAATCTTAGGATTCAATTCATTCATACCTAAGTCGATTCAAAAGTTAAAATAAATCTTAAATATCAACAAATTTTACGATTTACGATTTAGGAAAACTTTAATTTATTATATTATTTATAATAAACTTGTGATAATTACAGTTTTTGTCTCTATATTATATACCATTTTTAATTTAATAATACACCAATTTTTAATTTAGTGCTTAAACCGGAAATGCCCCCAAGTGGGGGTCAATCTGTAATTTCTGGAAATCCACCTCCCCGACTAAAACAGTTTGAAAATTGCAGAATTAGACCTATACTTACTCCATCTTCCCAGCCCCACAACCCAAATTGCAAATTTGTCCCCAAATTGGATCTCTCTTGCAATATCCGAAATATACGTCACCAACGCAGTATGCTTTGACTCCTCCTCAGTTATATTCGTGTGTGACTCATTTACGAAAATTCGCAATACCGAGTATAAAATCAAATGATTGACGATTCAAAACTCTATTCAATTCATTCATGCCTAAGTCGATTCAAAAGTTAAAATAAGTCTTAAATATCAACAAATGGATCAAATTTGACGATTTAGGAAAACTTTAATTCATTATATAATTTATAATAAACTTGTGATGATTACGGCTTTTGTCCCCATGTTATATACAATTTTTAATTTTGGTCCTTAAACCGGAAATGCCCCCAAGTGGAGGTCAATTTGTAATTTCTAAAAATCCACCTCCCTGGCTCAAACAGTTCTGAAAATTGCAGAATCACCCTTATACTTAATCCATCTTCCTACCCGCTCCATCCAAATTGCAAATTTGACCTCAAAGTGGATCTCTCTTTCGATATCCAAAATACCCGTCTCATTTACGAGAATTTTCAATACCGAGCATAAAACCTTATGATATACGATTTAAATCTTACGATTCAATTCATTCATATCTATGTGATTCAAATGTTAAAATAAATCTTAAAATCAACAAATCAATCAAATTTTACGATTTTTAGTCCATATATATATATATCCCCCTAATTTGCAAATTTAACCCCAAAGCGAATCTCTCTTGAAATATCCGAAATATCCACCACCAAGCAGTATGCTTCTACGACTCCTCGGCTATAATCGTGTGTGACTCATTTACGAAAATTCACAATTCCGAGTTTAAAATCTTATGATTTACGATTCAAATCTTACGATTCAATTCGTTCATACCTAAGTCGATTCAAAGTTCAAAAAAATCTTAAATATCAACAAATCGATCAAATTTTACGATTTATGATTTATGAAAGATTTTTTTATTATATTATTTATAATAAACTTGTGATAATTACATTTTTTTCCCTATATTATATACCATTTTTAATTTTGGTCCTTAAACCGGAAATGCCCCCCAAGTGGAGGTCAATTTGTAATTTCAAAACATCCACCTCCCTGGCTCAAACAGTTTTGAAAACTGCAGAATCACCCTTATACTTACTCCATCTTCCTATCCGCTCCACCCAAATTGCAAATTTAACCCCAAAGTGGATCTCTCTTTCAATATCCAAAATATCCGCTACATTTACGAGAATTCGCAATACCGAGCATAAAACCTTATGATTTACGATTCAAATCTTACGATTCAATTCATTCATATCTATGTCGATTCAAATGTTAAATAAATCTTAAATCTCAACAAATAGATCAATTTTTACGATTTTTGGTCCCTATATTATATACCTATTTCGCATCGCACGCGCCGTCATTCAGATAGCCTTTAACATAAGGAAGAAAAATTAACTCCTGATTAATCAGCTTTCGTTAACACATAAACGAGTTTGTATTTTGACAATCATTTGTGCACCGGCAAATTCCCTTGTTTCCAAGGGAGTGAACCCCACAACACCCTCTGTAGACAACTTTAAATCGTCACTTCCCATATCGCCACATTTGACACAAATTTTACCTAATCGTAAAAAAAAGATAAAAAAAATGCAGCCTAAAAATCGATATATGAAAGTATGTCGAAAATACATAATACGATAAGTTCTTGTATTCACTCGAGGCACCCGGCACCGCGCATTGCGTGGTGCTCTACACTAGTATATATATATATATATATATATATATATATATATATATATATATATATATTATATAGATCATCAATTTCTAACAATTTTGAGGTCTAAACGTAATTAGACTTAACATAGAGAGTTACATGTAATTAGGTTTAGGGTAAATTACAAACACCCTCTTAGGTATTGTCAAATTACAAAAATACCCCTCTGTTTGGATAATTACAACCGCTCTCAACTCCTCAAATTTAGTGGAATCTTCGAGATTATATGGAATATTATCTGGAATATTATCACTTTTGTACCCGTTTTATCTCATTCGAACTCTACATTATGAATCAAGATGATCATAATATGTGTTTTTTACCTTGTATATATCTGTTTGTGGTGCATTGAAAACTGTATTTTTACACAAAACGAGTACGAACTAGAGCACATTCCACGGAATCTAGATGATTATGTTGAATTTGGCACCATGAGGGTGGAGGTGTAAGAAAAAATCATAGTTGATGGGGTAGATGTAATTATCCAAACAAGTGGGGGTTTTTGTAATTTGACCATACCTCGGGGGTGTTTGTAATTTACTCTTAGGTTTAAATGTATACAATTTAAAATGCATAACAATATTTATATATTACAAATGAAATTATTTTCGGAATGTAAAAACAATTTCATAAAATTCAAATAAAAATAAATTTGGGAAAACGGGAAAATCGGAAATCGAAATTTTACTTCTCCTTGTAATGACTTGAATTACTTAAAAAAAAAAAAAAGTTTAGATCTAAACCAATATTGTTGATGGTGAATTACCAAACTACCCCTTACAGTTTGAACTATTTACAAAACAGCAGGTTCTCTTTCACCTCTCTTCCTCCTCAGTCCTTCCCAATTCATTTACAGTAATTACTCTCTCTCTCTCTCTCTAAACCCTTAATTAGAATCGGAATATCAGAAGAATCGCACAAGCTCCGGCAAATTTATTTATTTAATTTTTGTTTTTTGAAAGAAGAGAAGAACGGGGACCCTTCAAATTGTATCCCACCAGAAAAAATGGGGGGAAAAAGAGAAACCCCATGCCAATCAACATTTCCTTGTTCTGCAGGAGAAGGTAACCTAATTTTTTGATTTAATTTTCTTAAGATCGTCGATTTTATTTTCGTGTGAATTGCAAAAATGACCGCGATCGCGAATTGTTTTGTGATTTTCACGACTAGCGATTTCCGCATCATTTTCGCAAGTGTTTCGATTTTGCAGACCGAAATTGAAATCGAGCCCTTCTGAATTGGGGGAAAATTGAAAAAAAAAAACTTGATGCTGTGTGATTGTACGGGAGAACAGAGTGGAGAAGGGGATACTTGGGGGAAAATGACTGCGCGCGTGAATGGCAGTGTTGGTAGTGAGAATAGTAGGGAGGTGTTGGTGGAGAGGCAGACGGGAGCATCGATGATGGAGCAGCTTGTACCGGAGATAACTACGCATGCCCTCAGTTACTTGGATTTTCCGAGCCTCTGCCGCCTCTCCATGACAAACTCACTCATGCGTAAAGCTGCCAACGATGATAACGCGTGGAAGGCACTCTATCATAAGGTTTGGCTCTTTTTTTTTTTTTTTTTGAAAAACTATTGGAATTTTGGTATCGTAACTATCTTGATCTATTCGAATTTATTGTAGGATGCTATAAACCTGATTTTGGTATGTATAATAGCGGGTTGTTTGATATTTCAACCGGGAATTAGTGGGGTGGAGTAGATAATTTCTTTGTTATGTAATGTGAATGGTAGAGTTGTCTCTGTTTGTTTTTTTAGGAATTGTTTGGTTTACTTACCATGTAACTTTCTGGTTTAGCTCGTACGATTCGTTGAATTGAGCAATGGGAGATAAGGGTTGCCACGGTAAATTATTTGAGTTGATTAGTTTCTTGGGTTGTGCAGGAAAACAGTTGCAACCATGTTATAAAAAAATATTTACTTTGGATAACTAAACATAATATAGCCATTTTCGTATTGCTTTCCTTGAAGTAGTAATAATTAGGGTAAATTATGAAAACCCCCCTGAACTTAGGTTAAATTACTCCAAACACCTCACCTATCCTTAATTACCAACCCCCGATGTTTGTTTCCGTCTTACACCAATCTCCTTACGGTGTGAATTTTCACAGATTTTTTTTGATTCCGGTGTATATTTCGCGAAAATTGCTAATTCTACCCTTGTAGACGTGGCATTTCTTTATACCACTTGTCGAAAAAAAAAGTTAACCTCAGAGGGGTAATGGTAATACTAAAAAAGTTGTGAAGATGTTATTTAAGAGGAATAAATATTCCGTGTAAAGGCCCCCCTAAGGTTAATTTTTGTCTTTGAAAAGTAGCATACATAAATGCCACGTCTGTCGGGGTAAAATCGGCATTTTTCGGGAATAATTCCTTGGACTCAAAAAGATTCAGTGGAAAATCACACCATAAGGGGGTCGATGTAAGATGGAGAAAAACGTTGGGGGGTTTTGGTAATTATGGATAGGTGGGGTGTTGTTCGTAATTTAGCCTATGTTCAGGGTTTTTTTCGTAATTTACCCTAATAATTAATGCTTGGGAGGAATAAATCAAGAAATGGGAAATGACTTCTAATTGTTGTGATACAGAATCTTGTGTCACAACTTACTCATCCTGACTGGTTCAAGAAAAATAGGAAACGAATATTCAGTATGGAGTTGGGAATTCTGGTGGATAAGCCTTCCATCTGCTTTAGGTGATAATAACTTATTGGCTATTGGGTAAAGTGTGTGAATGATTTGAGCTGTGCTTCTGCATAGATTACCACTTTATATTTTGGGAGCCGTTATGCATGCTTATTTGTGTTCTTTATTGATAGAAAAGATACTCTTTGAAAATGGAATTGTGTCTAAAAATCTATGGTTTACAATTCCGTTTTCATAATTTAACTGCTATCAGCAAGAAACGGTTTAGCTTTTTATGTGGGGTCCTGATTTTTTGGTCTATGTGTTTATTGTTTTCCTAGATGTTCACATTAGAGTTTAGGAATTTTATCTACTTTAGCAACAGATAATTTAGTGACGAGAAATGCTGAATATAATTGATATATCAGATTTTTCTTCATTACGAAAATAATGGGCGCGGTTCAAGAATTAAGATTTCTTTGGTCACAAAAACAGAAAGGAAAAAATAAAAATAAAAATAGAGTTCATCTGTGGCAAGATGACGGTTGATTGACTGCTTAGATATGTGTGTGTGTGTGTGTGTGTGTGTTGTTTGTGTGTGTGTGTGTGTGAAATAGAGACAGCGCACGTGTGATTTTAGATTACCATTACGTTCATATTTGTTAACATCATCCTTATTTTGCGTTTGCCATACGTTGTTAGGATTTGAATTTTTTTTATTTAATTGTCTCTTTTGTTCGACCCTGCGGTACAATTTAGATATTGTTTGGACATATTATTACACGAACTCGCTTAAAGAGAATTACATCTTAATTGATCTTGTAAACTTTAACCAGCTTATGGTACTGCTGCAGTCATTACTCGTTTCAATCAGGGTCGAAACGGTAAATTATGTTGATTTTTGTTGCATCATCTAACAGGATTTCACTATCGAACAAGATAATCTGAGACCACCCAACGGATGGAAAGCTTATTACGCTGCTACAAGAGCCATTGTTAATATCAACACCGAGTTTTTTACATTAGTCAAAAATAGGTCTCTCACAGCTATGTCACAGTTTTGGCTTAATGCAGATTACGTCAAGTGTTTTCATCCAACCGGCGAGTCATTTACTGGGTACGTCTTTTTTCTATTTTTTATTTGCTTAAATTTTAAAAATTTATAAACATGTTCGTGTTCGAACGAAAGAGCTTATTATTTTATTTTTATTTTTTTTCTTTCTAGTTACAACGCTGTAATGCAGAGCTGGCAGATAGAATTCGGGTGGGAAAATGTAGTGGATTTCGAAATAAGAGATGTAAAGGCTCGTGTAATGGCAGATATGGCTTGGGTTACCATGAATGCTTACGATATAGAGACCGGGCCCCACAACGTGACTAATATATACGAGAACCATAACGGACGATGGTACATGGTGCACCATCATATCTCCCCTGTTCTCATCCACGGAGGAGTCCAGCCCCTTCTTTAAGGTTTAATTATAGTTAGTTAAGGCATTACTCGTAAGCGATCTTCAAAACCTCGGATTTTTAGCTTATCTGGTAATTAACAAAGATGTCTATGCTCAAATTTTTTTTTTATATATACACACAGTTGAAGTTTCTTTTTGCCTTTTGTTTTTGTTGATCTAGTGATCTATTTTTTAGCCTATTTTATCAAGTGTGATCTGTAATTACAATTTTTTAATTGTAGCCTATATATATATATATATATATATATATATATATATATATATATATATATATATATATATAATAAAACCATAATTGTTTGACGTGTATTCACATGAATATCAGTATAAAAATGTTATAATTTATTTCTATTTTTTATGGATAGATAATAGGTGTCATGGAGGATAAGTGGATAACTAGAAACAAAAAAATGAAGGGTAAAAGTGCTTGAAATTTTAATTATTGGGGTAATATGCGAAAATAATTAACTTTAAGGGGGGCTAAGAGCAAATTTTCCTTTGATTTAAAATAAGAAAAGAAAAATCAGTGGTTAAGAGTTATCCGACGAATTTTATCTTCCTGCGCGGGCGGGAGAGATACTGTAGTATGGCCGCTACCACCGCAACCAGCGGCTGTAAAACCACCACCGCCACCGCCTTCTTCCGCCTTTCGTCCCCCAAACCACCGCCATCTCAGAAATTTTCTCCGTTTTCCAAACAACTTATTTCCTCTTACAGATGCTCAATTTCCTCTGTAGCTATCACCCAATCCCATATCTCTTCGCCGGCGTCGGCGGCGGCGCCGCCCATTGGTCGGATGATCCGGCGTTCTGTTTCTTCGCCTGAAACAAGTGTTGTTGAAGAAGAAAACGCAGAAGAAAGTGGGAACTCTGGCTCTCTTCCTTCACTAACGTACGTATTTTGTATCTAAAGGATTATTATTATTTTTCCTCTTCTATAATTTATTATATCCGAAAATCAACAAATATTATTTGTGTTTTTTCGTTCTTTGCGCGCCTCTGTATATTAAGAAAATCAATAAATATGAATTGATCGGAATTTCTAAAGTGACAGATAGTTTCGAACGAAAAAAATTTCTCCAAAGCAACAAAATATTTTGCTCTGCGAAATTGGGTTTTGATGTACGTGTCAATAATCTATTACAGTTAAATCTCTATAAGTTAATACAGTCAGGAAAATTTTATTAATTTAGCGAAATATTAAATTATCGAGTTAATAATTTAGAATGTTCTCACCAAGTTGGTATCGAAATAATTTATTATTTAAGAGAGGTTATTAATTTATCGAGGTTCTACTGTAGTATAACTTAACATGAAGATCGGAGGTTAAACACATTAGAATATCGGTCTCGGGTCTCGTATACATTTGTTGACATTTTTGATAGTCTTTTTAGCTGCTATATATATTGATCAAATGGTTAAAAACTTGCCAAATAATTTTGAGCCTTCTCTTACGACTGATCTACTAACCAAAGAAAGCATTAACGCCAAAATTTGATGGGTTTTTCGAGATTATAGCAAGTTTTTCATACACGCATTGAAAATAAACGAAATGCTTTTGTGTGCGATTTCCGCATGCAGGGGTTGTAAAGCATGTGGAAGAGAGGATATCGAAAGGGGATGTAATGGTAAAGGAAGAATTCAAGGCGGGATTGCCGTTGTACCTGGCTTTGGTTGGTGGCCGATAAAAGCTTATCGGCCTTGCCCTGCTTATGTGGCATCTGGCGGCAGGTATCGACGAAGGGGCCAAAGCATGGATGAGGTCATCTCCGGAAATGGGGTCAGAGACTCTTGAGATGGGCCCCGCCAATCACGGGCCTCGATCAAAAGGTACGTAATGTAGCACATGATGCTCCCACGTAGGTACGCGTGACTTTTGACGAAGTCTTGATAATTAGTTGCGTTAATTGGCTGAATTAGTGGACGAACTTTCAATCATGCAAAAAAAAAAAAAAACAAACAAAAAAATCACGAGTTGTTCGACTGGACCATTGATTAGTAACAGTCTAATTGTAGTCGTTTTTTGTCCGATTAAGGATTTTTGTACAAAATGCGTTGAGAATTGACTTAACCACGCAGCTGCGCGGTGAGTGCATAGCGGACTATTCTTTCACCTTTTACTAAAGAATACCGTGTGCTCGCTGCAATAATTCAAGCAGCATACGCCACTTTTTGGAGGGATTCTTTCTTCTTAGGAAAAGGCCCCCAACAAAACTAAGTTCAAATATTTTGTTTAGTTTATCGAACATACATAATTCACTTCTTAAATAATCCGGTTGTATAGTAGTTTGAGCCTCGATCAAATGTCCCTCGTAGGTACTCTTGACTTTTGATTCTTGATAATACATATCTTATGTGATGTGACCAACAAATAAAAAAAATTACAAAAATCGTGATTCGATTAGTAACGCTCTAATTTTGTATGATCAAGGATTGTTGTTTTCCATGAATCGAAGGCTCCGCTCTAATTATCGTCTCCTTTTTTGCGTTGCGAACAATTTCAGCAAGAAGGAGGGGCTTACTATAAGATATTCAAGAGGTGACGATGAGGTCATCTTATCTGCCCCCGTGCTCGAAAACGAGTGAATGTTGATGTAAAATTGTCGGAAAATATATTTGATTCGTACTTTTACTTGGAACTGTTCGATTCGTTCTCATGAAATATACGAGCTTGTTTCAATTATAGGTTTTTTTTCCGTAATTACACCTAATGTCAGGGGGATGGTTGTAATTTACCTTTTAATTTTTGTATGCCATTAAATTGTGGGTTTATTGCATTTAACACCCATATGTTTACTCTAAAAAAGCTCCTTGTATTATAAATATTAGTAAAATCCCATCACGATTCAATTTTATTAGCAACTTATTCCCTAAAAACACAAAAATTAGGGAGTTGCCGGTTGTGTGTTAAAAAAATGCATCGTCGGTTTTTTTATGCCAATTTTATAAAACAAGGAGTTTTTTTAGCAATTGTGTACAACACAAAGGTAGTAAATGCAATAAACTCGCTAAATAGAAATCATGTGTGTGCCCGATTACTTAAAAGGGGTAAATCACGGCAACTCTTGAGGTAATGTCAAATTACGAAAAAATCCCTCATGTTTGGGGTAATTACAATGAACCCTTTAACTATGAACTATGAATCTTTTTACACGTTCACCCTTGTTGTGCCAAATTTAGTGGAATCTTCTAAATAATGTGCAGTATATTTCAGTTCGTACCCGTTTTACCCCATTCGAGATGTGTCTCTTGCCTTGTAAATATCAGATTGTGGTGCATTAAAAATTGCAGTTTTGAACAAAACGAGTACAAACTAGATAACATTCCATGAAATCTAGAAGATTATGTTGAATTTGACACCATAAGGGTGGACGTGCAAGAAAATTCGTAGTTGATGGGCTGATTATAACTACCGAAACATAATGGGGTTTTTCATAATTTGACCTTACCTCAGGGGATGGCCCATATTTAAAAATAATTGTAACAAATATATATTTTGCACTGTAAATTTTAATCTCAGACGATAATCATAAATATCATACAACACATGGATATATAAATATATACACAATCATATAATTTACAAGCAGAAAATAAATCAAACATTACAATAACTCAAATGAGATTAAATATAAATAATCTCAAACCATGACTACCATAGAAAATAAAATGCTCTGATACATACATGATTGCAATACATAAAAAAAAGACATTAATATTCATATCGCCGGAGATAGTGGTGGTGCCGTGGTGGCAGGGTCGTCGGCCAGTCGTATTTGTGATAAACGGATTCATCAACGACGCAACTCCTCCAAGAGCCGGCCTTCTTCCCCGATCTCTTGGGAGTTGAATTATAAGCAGCAATCCTCATCTGCTGAATGAGTGCCTCTGTGTTCATTTCATGCGACAATATCCTCTCCAAATCTTTCGGATTAATCACCAGTTTCACCTTCCATACACCGTTTCCTGGCGGCAGAGGTGGCGGCTTTCGTCCTCCGGTGGTCCCTTCTGCGGTGTCTTCGGTGGCTCTTAGAGAACAATTTCCCATTTGTTTTTCTTTTCTTTTCTTGTGTGTGTGTAGTGAATGTGTTGTGCAACAAGTGTAAGGACTTTTGGTGGTATTTATGCTTAAGAAAAAACCGTTGAATTTTTATTCAAAAGAGTCACGGATTTTGATTGGAAAATGTCAATTTTTCATTTTTAAATTTATATACTTGATAAATTACACCTACACCCCTAATGTATGCTAAAATAACTTTAAGATCCCTGTAGTATTGGTAATTACAGCCACACCCCTGAAACAATTACCGGAGCCAAGATTTCATGTCCCGGGACCGATATGCACTATATTTGTTTCTGACGGAAATTTATAAATCTTATATAAAATAGTAAGGATAATTGAAGAAATGTTCGGAGAGCCATGTCACCCCTAGCTCTATGTTGTTTCTACCACTGCCTGAAACTAATAGGTTGTTAGAACGCTAACGGAATAACTTATCTATCTCATTATTCCGTTAGGGTTTCTAACAATGTTTCAGGGGTGATTGTAATTAACGATACTACATGGATCTTAAAGTTATTTTATTATAACTCATGGGTGCTGGTCTAATTTACCCTTATTTATTTCTTGTGACATTTTTTGGAAGCAAGTGGAAATTAAATGATACATACTAAGGTTTAAATAAAAAAAAATAAAAAACAGTATTAAACATTTAAACACAAGAAGTTGTCCGTATAAGTTATAACTAAGTAAACGACATTTGTGGGTGTGGGCCGCCCGCGAATATATTAACTGCAGAATGAATCAATCTTGTGAATCTTGCACACACTGCTGGTGTATATATATATATATATATATATGTAATGAACTGTGAAGTCAAATAAATATTGATTAAGTTGTGATGATATTTTGGATTCTTTCATACAGCTAATATTTCATGTTTAGACTTTAAAATATAAAGACAACATGCATATTCAATTTCAATTATTATTTCTATGTGGTATTGAATTGAAAATTACTCGAATTATTTTTATATTGAATAATTTCTACAAAATTACATTTGGCCTCTGTTTTATATAGTAATATAGAGTTTGACAATTACCTTGTTAGGAGTATATTTAGAATTTTCAAATTTTCTTTAAATCGAAAATGTTGTAATACTATGTGTAGTGGCGGAACTAGCATACGGTGATGAACACTTGGTATTGTAAATAATATGATATAATAGAGTGTCAAATTGACAATTATAAATGGAACATTAATATAAAAAATTTAAAACAAATAACCATAATTTTGTTAAAAATATAATTGATCGCTCGTCTTGGGAAATGGAATCTACAAATGGATAATGTGTACACACACAATTTTTGTATGATCATTGATCATTCTAAAAAAGATATATAATATTAAATTATTTGCTTCCTTTTTTCCAATATATTCTTGGGTGCTAAATTACGGCCACCTAAGGTAAGATACGAAAAAAAATATTTTATGTTTATTTAATACAATAATTCCTTTAAATTATGAATATTTTATGTTTATTTAGATTATGTGGATATTCTTCAATTTGTACCCGTTTTATCCCATTCGAGTTCCACATTTTAAAACAAGAAGATCATAAGATGTGTGTCTTATCTTGTAAATATCAGATCGTGGTGCTATCATAAACTGCATTTTTGCGCAAAATGAGTATAAACAAGAGAACATTCCATATAATTTAGAAGATTATATCAACACTATAAGGATGGACTTATAATAAGATTTATAATTGATGACTAATTGTAATTACCTATAATAAAAAAGTTTTTTAGTAATTTAACCTGCCTCGGACTGGCTGTAATTTACTTATATTCTTAGGTTCTTCTATGATCATTCATTCTATAATATATATATAATATTAAATTTTATCCTTCACATTTCCAATATATTCGTTGTCAAAAAAAGAAAGATGAAAAGAATAAAATATAAGAAAATGAAAATCTCATCCACAAGAATTATTACAAAAATATAATAATAACATACGGCTCCAACATAAACCACAGGCACAAGGCCCACAACCAAAGAATAATGTTTCAATCAATTGGTCGAGTTTGTGGCCCGTGATAATATTCTCATTTTTCATTTAATTTCTTCATACATTTTTTTATTATTTATTATTTTCCTTTGACACCATTATTGGACTAATTCCTGGATTTTGATTTCTATTTATCCTTTTTCTTTTAATCTATTTATTTCTTGCAATAGAACATAATAAGCGCATAAGGCTAAAATAGTAAAAGCGCATACTCGTCGATTGACTCGCTAGTTTTTACATCCAGCTTGTCTTAGCTCGTCGTTTTCTCTTTATGAAACATAGCTCGCCACCCTTGTTACTCAAATATAGCTCGTCAATCAGATCGTTGGCTTTATTAAAGTCGGTCTAGGTCGTCAGGAGATCTCGTAGCTCGTCACTTACTCACGAGCCCATATCAAAATCTAATTCTTTGAAAATTGGAATCGAATTAGAAATAAGAATCTCTTATATGTTCCAATTCCATATGGAAATAAATATTGAATATATAGCTTTTTATTTATTTATTTATTATTATTATTATTATTATTATTAATATTTGAGAAACAATATTGATTTGGTCCGTGGGGCTTCGTCTTCCTTGAACCAACTTCCGTACGTACTCCGGTGGTGGTACCTGCAACGCCGGGAGGGGTTCCCGGCGGGAGAGCTCCGACGATCAAGTCAGTGGTTGGAATAGAAAAACAATAATGTATAATGTAACAGTAAAATGGTATGTATCTTGTGTAGGTTTCTGAAAGGTACGTGAAAGGCATGTGTGGAAAAATGCAATATCATTCCTTATTTATAGATGAGGAAACCTTGGCCTCCAAGGTTTCCTTTTTTAGGGTTTCTCCCTACCCTCAAGCCACACGTTTTGGGCCTCTGATTATCCTGGGCTCGTTTTACCTCGTATTGATACTGGGCCTGCGAGCTAAGGTATCCCATTTCGTCTCTAAGGTCGTACGACCTAACGACCTCTTCTGCCCTACCGGGCTAGGTTGTCATGGGCTTATCATCGTGGGCTTAATCTCATTTGGCCTTTCCAGAATGGCCCGTATCAACTACTCCCCCCTACTCCTTAATTATCGGACGAGAAGACTCTGTACTATCTCGTTTGGTAACTATGGAGTATAAAGTACGAAGTAAGGCTTCGTTTTTAATTTTTATTTTTGGTGGGGATGCGTGCCCTCCGCCTCCTGTCACCCTGTCAATCAATGTGGTCGATTCGGGTTCCCTAGGTCATTATGAGGGGATTTCAATCGGTGCCTTTGCATCGAGTTCGAGGCAGTCTGCTTTTAATCTCGTTCGTCCGAATGGGCGGTTGAGATTTAATTCCCCTTCATTTTTCCTCCTATAAATACCCAACTGACTTGTTTTGCAGAACTTTTTTCCCCTTTCACCTTCGTGCTCTTCCTTCTATTTGATTTCCCTTCCGGTGATTTTGTTTTCTGAAACAGAGCTTTTACTTCTCGCGCCTATCCTTTTCCTCGACCAAGGTATTGCTTCTTTCCCCGATCTTTTATTACCCTTACCTAGTTTTTAAAATCGATTATGTCTTCCTATTCTCCTGACCCATTTGGCCAAAAAGTGCCTTCCGGGGAGGGGGGTGGACACCCCACCCTCTCCATTTCTTCTTCGTCGGAGGAGGGACCTTACTTCTCCCCTTCGGGCAAACTTTTGGA